TCAGCGTAAAACATCATCAGTTCATACTTACGTCGTATTCAGAAATTTCGCGAGCAATTTTCGTGGCAAACTAAAACGAATCATTCACGATCACAAAATCCACCCACCTGTTCTGTATAATTTCTTAGAGCATGGATCCGTCCAAAATTTGTTGCAAATTGATTTTGCCATAACTTCTCCGGAGATTCAGGGTGCAGTACAGACGCCTTATAACTTTCATGATCAGTCAAATAATAAACACTCAACGCATACCAATAGGCAGCCTGCAATCAATAATATTTTAATTTCATTTAGTTTCTCTTCGCACAATCAACAACTCATGCATTCAGTTCAATAAAAGTTTCTACAGATGTAAATCCACATTTGAAGTTCTTCATTGATTCGGAACGCCGCCTTCAAACGGAAACTCCAATTGATTCTCGTTGAACAAAGTCTTGGTGACAGAGAAGAAAATGAGCGATTCAGTGCTGTAGCAATCATTTGGCCCTCAGGTTCTGTGATATAATTCAGTGATTTTCGATAACGAACGTATCTAGTGACCTAAACCATTTGTGCGAACAATTCATCGAAAATCGAATTCATTCATTCATTCGAAATCATCGAGGGAATAGCAAGCACTACGGTTGCTCACTTCTAAGCAACATCACTTCCGCCTAGTAGCCAGTGATGCCTAAATTGAGAAAAATTACCCAGCTACGACTGCACCGTACTTTTTTAAAATTTTTATCTCCAACTCCAGCTGTAGCTGCTGCGCATTTTTTTGAAAATTCGACTCCGGCTCCGCGCTGCCGAAAAGACTACCGTACAGATCTTAGCTCTGGTGAGTGAATATCACTGTGACACTTTTTTAGGAAGCCAAAACAAAATTTTTTGGCTCTAGAGCGTCGGTAGGTGAATGATGTTCGCTTGCTAAAAGTCGCGAACACTAATTTCCTTCTTAAGGAGCTGTAGAAGTATGTATTGCAGAAGTATTCAATCATTGAAGCCTTTTTTGAAAGTTGGCCATGAAATTTCTCGAGCTCGTTTCATGTTCAGTCCTCACCCACACCACCCTCCCCTCCCCTTTTTCAATCGTTTGTTCCGTTCGGTCTGATTGCTGCTATTCACTGCCTCATATAAAGTATTTTGGAGAGTACATTGTATCCTTAGTATTATCAAAATTGCTTCATTATTAATGACTCCATTCAAATGCTACCGCTAATGTGCTGATGTAACTTGATGATACCGGATCTCAATGATGTCAACATTGGAAAAAGTCCTCTAAAATCTGCTCCGTAATTTTGCCTCGCATTCATTTGCATCGCTGCAGCTTGAGCATACAGATTGATTAAATAGTGGAAGATAATCGTGTGACAAATCGAATTATGCATCTCACAATGGTATTGTAATTGAATAAGGCGTATCAAAACTATTGACTCATATTCTATCAACAAATTATTGCTATGAACATGACTCGAATAAAATGTGTTATGAGTGTTGGATGTTGCATGAGTTATTACTATGACATACAAACATAAATACATCGTCACAAATCGATTTCGAAGCAAGATCTTTCATCGAATTGAAGCAACAACTGTTTTTGTTACGCTCACGATTCCAAAGATCAAGCGTCAGTGAGAAACCGGATGATAATCGAAGCCATGTGCAAATGCACTTGTTCAAGAGTGCTCACCTTATTGAGGACATTCAAAGCGAATTTGTTGTATTGTCTGAGTTGAGCATTGATTGCTGATGTTGTGTTATGAGTGGCACGTATCAGTTGCACGTTGTGCTCGACGTCAGCAATAATCGAGAAGAGCGTACGTTTCTCAGCATCAATGTAAGCTTTCTTCTCAAGCAAAAGTTCCTCTTCGTTTGGACATTCGATTGTGTAGAAAATGAGTCCACCAAGAAACGAATACGCTATCAATATGAGCACAGGAAAGAAGCTGTGAATGTGTGACTTCTTGTAAATGTACTAAAAATTCAGCATTCATTTTAAATACTCTAAATGATTGTTTCATATTGAAGTGCAGTTAGCAGAGAAAAATTCAATAAAGTGCAAATGAGCGGCGCTTAAACAGGACTATTTCATTATGAGTAATTTTTCATTGTGCAAATCTTGCTAATATGATAAACACTACACAAAAATTACCTGCAAATAGTGACAAAATTTTTGGAAACGTGTTTCCGAAAGCGATGTGATGATCTGTGATTTGGTTGTTGACTTCAACGAGCCATTGCTCGCCCCTCTCGGCAGGAAGTGCTCATCGTCAAGAAGTGAGAACTTCTATGAAAATAATTGCTTGAAGTAATTATATTCAATTTTTGATCATTTCTTGATTCTAAACTAGAAAAATCTTTTCCAAACCGTTACATTCTTCTCTTCATGAAAGTTGACCTATGAAAATGGGATTGCATGTGATTTGATCACACGTCACATCGGCACACCATATTTTTTCTCATTAATGTGAGTCGAATTATACCCAATAGGAATGCTCGTTCAGTTCTTAATTCTAGAACGGGTTNTCTGTGTAGATAACAACAGATAATTGGATAATAGATACAAGCCGGATCATAGCCTGGCTCAGGCTCTGTGTAGTTATTGTAATATCAAGTTGCGATCTCACTGACCACAATTATTCGAAATTTAAATGCTAATTTCAGATTCAGTCTCAAAGAGTATGTTTCTTGCGTTGATTCTCCTATTTCATTTACTTATGTGTGTTCATCGCTTATTTAAGTCTCACTTTTTGACTTGTTTTGACTGATTACTTCAATCCGCCTCAACATCATTACTAATTCAGACATCAAATAATGCTATCGCTTATTCATTGGTCATCAGATGCCTGGAAATTACCAAAAGCTATTTTAACTGTAGCAAATTAGGACAATAATAAATTCCATACTTTCTTATGCAAAAAAATATTTTCAGATGAACTCATGAGAATTTCAGAGTGACGAAGACAGCCTTAGACTGATTTTGTTCAGTGGATATGCAGAAAGAATTGTCGACAGGGATGAATGTGGGATTGCAGTGAGTAAGATTCCAACTTAAATAAGCACAAAAACACGTTTTCCAAGGACAGTTTTTTGGACGTTGCCTCCTGTAATCCCTCAGCCCCTCTCCTCCTGTGTAAGACGCTACCGATTAGGTGCAATATTCAATAGCAAAAATCGCAGTGTGCTTGGG